CGCCGCCGCCGCCGCCGCCGCCGCCGCGCGGGGATCGCCGCGGGATCGGATCGGATCGGCGCGGGGCGGAGCGGAGCGGGGGGAACGGCTCGCATCGAGCCGCCGCGGCGCCGCTCCGTGTGTTCGGTCTGTTGCGGCGGCTGCCTTAAAGCAGCCCGGCCCGGTGCCTTAAAGCAGCCCGGCCCGGTGCCTTAAAGCAGCCCGGCCCGGTGCCTGCAGCCCGGCCCCGGTGCCTGCAGCCCGGCTCGGTGCCTTAAAGCAGCCCGGCTCCGGTGCCTGCAGCCCGGCTCCGGTGCCTGCAGCCCGGCTCCGGTGCCTTAAAGCAGCCCAGCCCGGTGTCTGCAGCCTGGCCCGGTGCCTTAAATCAGCCTCTACACCCGGCCCCGATGCCTACACCCCGCCCCGGTGCCCTAAAGCAGCTGCTACACCCGGCCCTGGTGCCCGCGCTCGGCTCCAGTGCCCAGAACCAGCCCCTATACCCGGCTCCAGTGCCTGCAACTGGCCCCAGTGCCCTGAACCAGCCCCTACACCCAGCCCTGATGCCCTAAACTAGCACTGGTGCCCTAAACCAGCCCCTAAACCCAGGCCTCGTGCCCTACAATCAGCCTCTACACCCAGCCCCAGCACCCTAAACAAATCCTGGTGCCTTAAATGAGCCCCTTTCCCCAGGCACAGTGCCCTAAACCAGCTCTGATGCCCTGAAGCAGCCCCTGTACCCAGGTGCCCTAAACCAGCCCCTTCACCCATCCCTCGTGCCCTAAACCAGGCCTGCGAACAGCCCCAATGCCCTAAACCAGCCCCTGTGCCCAGTGCCCATTCACACGGCCCTTGCCCACGTCTCTGCCTTGCTGTTCCCAGAGCCTGGCTGAAAACCAGAGGTTTTCCATCAACTTTTAAGTATTCCGGAGAGTGGGAGCTCCTGGCTATTCCAGACTGTCTTCTGCTTCTGCAACCATGAATATTTGGTACATGTTTTATCCAGCCAGTAAATATGGAGACGTCAAAGGTGCCTGATCCTATGTCATGCCTAGAGCAAGGGCAGGTCACAGCTGGGCCCCACACAGGGAACCAGACACAGGGAAATATATAGGGAAATACAGGGGAAAAAAATCCTTGCATTGCTACCTGCTGCTCCAAGACTTCCCATTTTGATTTTTGGAGTCCTGAGAATTGCCAGGGATCGTGAAACCACTGTGTGCCCCATTTAGGCCTCCTGGCAATTCCCTCCCCCAAACCCCAAAGCCTTCCCAGATGCGTGGCTGGTGTCACCGCCGCGTGATTAAACCCGTAGATATGGATATGGGTAATTAATTACATTGATATTTCCCCCTCCCCATCCTGGCTGCGAAATCGCCTCAGACCCAGGCAAAAAGGAGCCATTCAGGGAATGAGGAAATAGGGGGAAAAAAGCCCAAATCTTTCCTCAAAGCACATCACGTCGCATGCCTACAGCAACACCGCTTCTACAGCATAAAATAGAATAAGGGGGGATGAGATTTTCCGAAGCAACTAGTGGGATTCCTACATTGCTCCAAAGTGAGCGGCTGGGTAAGGTGCACAGGATGCAGGAGCTCCCGGGCTCCTCAGATCCATGGGGAATTCACAGCAGGAACATGCAGCGACACCTCCCCGCGCAGCCCTTGGTGCAGCACATGCCCCGTGCCGGGAATTCACTTCTCCTTTTGGGCTCCGCTTCTTTCAGCAACTTGCAATCAGGCTCTGGCAGCGCTTGCATGCCAAGTGCGCATCCGAGCCGCTCCGCTGCGCGCTCCCGGCCTCATCCCGGTGATTTTGGGCACTCAGGGAAGGTGCTTTCCCATTAAAACACCTGGCAAAGGATGCAAAATGACGAGCAAGTGCTTTTTCTTAAAAGCCCTATAGATGCCTGGCAATGATAAACGCAGTGCTTTCTTTTTCAGGGTTGGAGTTAATCGCTCGCTGGCCGCGCTTTGGGGGGCTCTGCCCAGGTGGCCTCACCCAGCTCCCGCATCCACCCAAAAAGCACCCAAAGCAAAGCAAAACAGTGGAAAAAAACCCCACCATTACCTCCACTTCCCTTTCTTTCTTTGCCAGTCTTAGTTAATTAAACTATGCAAATTAAAACAACTTAATTTCTATAATATCAGTTACCAGAGCCCCAAACCATTTGGTGCAGCTCATCTGGCACGTACGTTACATAAAGCGTTCAGAGCGGCTCTAATAAAAATGAAAAAGGCTGTAAATCAAATTTAATTTATTCATTTTCTGTATGGTATGAAAGCATGCCAAAATCAGATTATTTATGAGCCCTTCATAACAATAGGCATTTTTATTGGTTGCAAATGACAAAAGGGGTTCTCAGAGGGATTTTTTTCTTTCTTTTAAATTTCTTGAATGCCTTTTCAGAAACATTTATTTTTTTGGACTCTATGATCTCAAAGAAAAATATTTAATCATTGATACAGTTAAAATAATTTATATTTAGATACTGGGGAAAAAAAGCACATCAAGCTTTAAAAACATAAATATACATAACTAATCCAACCCGAAGGCTCAGCCTAATGGTGCACTATGGATTAGATAAAAGCACTTGGATTTACACCCACTTTTTTAGACTCCTCATCCATAGTGTGGTTTCCCACATGGCTTTCCCAAGGATGCACCAGAGCTGGGGTTGGCTTCCCGGGACAAGTCCCTAGCACATGGACATGCGCGAGCTGCATTTTGGGGTGAAATACAGCTTGATCCTCTGCGACTTTGCAACCTCAGCTCCTCTTCAGGGCCTTCGGCCTCCCCAGTGCACCCAAACCGGCGGTGAACAGCCCGGCTCTGGCTTCTGCTTCCCACTTTTTGCATCAGTGAAACCATCTTCTGCTCAATATCAGGTACAGATGGGATCAGAAATGGGGTTTGGTTAAACCTGGAAAAATTTAAGTGTGGAAACTGAGGGCAGGTTGAAAGGGCACCCACAAGGGACATGAATGCAACGGGGCTGGTGATGACCAGAGGGACTCCAAAACAAATAAAATAAATAAGTGCATGAATAAATACGTAAACAAACTGCAGAAATGCAACTTTGAAAAAAAAAAAAAAAAAAGGCCACTTTTTGGGGAAAAAAAAAGAAGAAACCCACTAGTTGCCAGAAGGTCGCTTGGCCACTTGGCGAAGCCCAAGCGGGTGTGTGGGAGCCTTCGGCCTCAGCGAGGGGGAGGCTGTGCTGCCTCCTGAGAGCAGAGGGGCCCTTTGCTGGGCGGATGCTGAGAACAAGAGGAAAAATAAAAAGGAAAAAAAAAAAAGAAAAAGGGGAAAAAAGAGGGAAAAGGAAAAAAACCAAGCAGCTCCCCCCCTTACCAGCAGAATTAGCATCCAGGCTCTGTCAGTCACCGGGAGCCTTTGGTAAAAGGGGCCCCTTGTCAAGCCCTGCCTTTGATGTGCCTGGGACGGAGGTGCTCAATTAAAAGCCTATCAGTCTGTAAGTAAATCAACGCCTATCAGGCTTGTCACATCAAACAAACGATTATTGCACCCGCCCGCCCACCCCATTAATCTGCCCGTTCCCCCGCGACAGCTCAGGGTCAGGGCACTGTAAATCCAGCGCTGGATCCCGGCCACCTGGAGCAGGATGAAAGGGGCCCGGCAGCACCCGCGCTTCCCGGCCCGGACCAGGACGATGGCGAGGTCCCCCCTGCAAAACACCCCCACCAGCCTCATCCTCCTCCAGGCTGCAACTGCCCCCCGGCGCTCGCACAGCCCCCCAAAGGCAAAGCCCCTACCCGGGGTTTTTATCGCTACCTGTAGGTTAAGGCGCTTCCAGCGCGTGTCACACCGAGGCCGTCGCGTGCGTGGGAAATATGACAGGGCTCTTTTAAGTGCAAGCGCAGGCCTTGGTTAATTTAATAACTCGCAGGGAAAATAGGATTGCATTAAATTTAATGTTTGGCGGGATACTCCGGCGCTGCCTGGCACTGCTGCCGGCAGCGGTCGCATTGCCATCACCCCCAAACGGGGCTACTTTTGGGGGAAAAAACAGGGAGACAGGGCCTGGAGAGCCCGAGGGGGGAGGGGGCTGTTTTTTGGGGGGAAAAACAGGCAATTCCCTGAATTGGTGGCTGGAGCGAGGATGCTGCCCCTGCCTCGCCCCCCCTGCACCCAGCAAGGTTAATGCTCCGAGCCAGGAGCGGGGCCTGGGAGATGGGAACGGCGTGCAGGAAGACGATGGTTGGCAAAAATCATTAGGAGCATCTTTCAACGCTCCATATGCCGCTATTGATCCTGCTATAGATCACGCTCCCTTCCCCCCCTCCCTTATTTTTTTTTTTTTTGCAGGATCCTCCAGATCGATACTGCAAGTGCATCGAGACTGTAGCAACACATTTAAAACCCTATAAAAGGTTATTTAGTTGCTAACAGTGCAGCAGTTTCTGCAGAGCCTGCCAAAAGGTTACAGCTTTTTGGGCATCATAAATTACAGACGACAGGGAAAAAAAGTAAGTGCGGTTTTCTTTATTGTCTCCGTGATGGATGGGCTCCTGAACAAGACACAAAATACATCATATCACCTTTAATGGGACCACATTTCTGTGGCCATAACTCACAATTTTAAAATAGAAAATGGTGAAATATGGCGTTGTATATTCCACTCCTGACATATTTA